GCGTTCGACGGTTCGCACTGCGCAAGAGCGGGTGGGAGAAGAATCCTCAGCGCATGTACATCGCCTGTCGCGATGGAGGCTGCCGCTGTTTTCTGTGGTTGAACCTGCCGTTGTCGGGCAAGATGCGTCGTCGCGTCAACGGGGAAGACTGGAGCAGCAGCCCACCCAGTGCCAAACGAGAGTGCTTGGCGGCCCGAATGCAGGGTGTGGACAGTGGGTGGCGTTCGACGACCAAGGGGTTCATGATGTGCGACAATGGCTACAACACCCTGTCCCCCCGGACATTTTCGAGGGCCTGAGGTATCGCACGTGAATGCACGGGGCCTGGGAGGAGTATAAAGGCGCCAGCATGCCGGAGGAACGTCATCAAGTGTTGCTGTTGGCGTACGCCCGGTAAGAGAGGGAAGACGGCCATCATCCCGAGAGTCCACGGGTGCTGAAAGACTTGCGCGAGCATTGGTTGGAGGGGAAACCCAAGGTGTGGCGCGGTAGCGTCTTCACCGCCGATGGGATGGAGCGGCTGAACCAGATCCGTCAGTCATGGCTGGAACCCATTTCTGAGCAGGAACGCGCCGGGTGGCAGCGACGCCGTGATGTTTAAACCAGTAAAAAGTAAGAAAGGGAGTCCTGTGTCTTGTCGTTATTGCAGTGCGTGCGTGCGAGATGAAAAAGAAGCGCCGCATGAGTTGGGCGGAGGCGTATGAAACACCCTCGTTGCGCGGGAGTCTGGGGGGTGTCGAGCGCTTGGCGCAAGAGCACGGCGTGCCGGCCGCCCGCGCCCGCTCCAAGTTGCAAGGGCTGTTGAGTTACACATTGCATAAACCTCGACGACGACGATTCCCCACCCTGCCGGTGGTGGTGCATGGGATGGACGACCAATGGGTGGCCGTCCTGGTGGAGATGCAACCGTTGAAAAAATGAAATCGCGGGATGCGCTACTTGTTGACGGTGGTGGACGTCTTGTCCAATTATGCCTGGGTGGAACCGTTGAAGGCCAAGACGGGAGCCGCGGTGGCGGCGGCGTTCGAACGGACCCTGAAACGGGCCCGGGGACGGCAACCCCTGCGATTGCAGACGGACGCCGGCAAAGAGTTTTACAACCGCACGTTTCAGGCGTTGATGACGCGTCGGAAGATCCATCATTTCTCGACCTACGGAGATACCAAGTCGTCGGTGGTGGAACGATTCAATCGGACCTTGAAGGAACGCATGTACCGTTACTTTACCGCCCGCAACACCTACCGGTACGTGGACGCGTTACCCGCCTTGGTGCAGGGGTATAACGTCACCAAACACCGCAGCATCGGCATGGCCCCCCGAGACGTGAAAAGGGCCAACCAACGCCAGGTGTGGCAACGCCTGTACGGCCGACGCATGGCGCGTCGCGTTCGCCCGAAATGGAAAGCGGGGGATCGCGAGCGTTTGCAGAAACAGCACCGTCTGTTCGAGAAAGGGTATCTGCCCGGCTGGACCGAAGAGGTGTTCATCATCGACCGGGCCGTGCCGGGGCCCGTGGCCCTCTATAAAATCAAAGAGTGGGACGGCACGCCCGTCAAAGGCACCTTTTACGAGCAAGACGTTCAGAAAGTCGACGTGCCGGACGAAGCTCTGTTTCACGTGGAGAAAGTGCTGCAACGTCGACGCCAGGAGGTTAAGGTGCGTTGAAAAGGCTGGCCGAAAAAGTACGACAGTTGGATTCCCAAGAGTAGCCTGTCCTTGTTATGACGCGTCGGGTGGCCTTGATACCCGCCCCGTTGGCGGCGCCGTTTGGCCGTCTGCACTGTGCCCCTCTACCCAGCCAAAAGACGTGGATGGATATGATGGAGCGATTGGAGGCCAAGTACGGACCCAAGAAGGGGAAGAGGAAGAAGGTCAAGAAGAACCGCCCTGCAAAGAAGAAGCGTCCCTCCAAGAAGGCCCAGCGAGCGTTCCGGGCAAGGTTGCGAGGCATGGTCAAGCTCGGGAAGAGCGTCACCTTGGACACGACCCTTCGTCGGTTGGTGCAAGAATTTCCCCAGGCCGATCACGAGTTGAACGTCTGGCCCAAACGATCCAGTTTGTACAGTACCGTGGGTCGGGTGCCCTGGTCTAAGCGTAAATTGAATACGTACCTATAAAAAAGGCCAGACCCGACAAGGGAGGAGGGAGATCGAGATGGAACCGTCTAGTCGATCGCTGTACGTCACGCTACTGAGTAACACCAGCAAGCCGGAGTTTCCCGAGAATACGCCGGCTTCGTTCAAGGTGCGTCTCCCGTACCCCCTGCGCGTCAAGAACTGGCAGGTGGGCATGACTGGCGTCTACTTACCCGGGCACCCAACATGGTGTCTCATGGGGTGACGTCGCATCCCGTGAAGCATCCGACCGCGCCTCTCACGGAGCATCGGCAGTCCAATTCGTACAAGGGATCGACGACCCAACGATTGGTACGCATGTATTCCCAAGCCCTCAATGGGACCGATGGGACCAAGACGCAAGATATCATGACCAACATGGATGACGCTGACATGCCCGAAGCCGCAACGGGGGTGGAGTTTATGAAAAAAGTGGTCTACTGGTTGCAACAAGATAGGATAAAGAAACTCTGGATCGGATACAACTTTGGCACCACCGAGGTGGACTATGTGCCTCGGTTCGAATGGAAGGAAGAGGTGGGGTGCCTACGTTCTAGATCCTCAATGACAAAACCAATATTGCCTACAATAAACCGCGCCCTTACCTGGGGTTCAATCTGGTATTGGCCGAAACGATGGGATGGGTGGTGAAAAAGGAGGACGATTCGTATGGCCCGGCGGGCAATTTACTCATGTACCCGCTTTTGGACCAGCCCAAGTCCCCGAAGATCGATGCGGCCGCGGATAAGAACCAACCGGTGACGTTTACGGATTACGTGCACGTGTACCGAGGCATAGCGTATTTGTCCATTGTGGTGGATTGGCAGTTTGTGAATTTGGATGAAGCCTATGCCAAGGCTACCACGCACGTGTACGTCACTCCCGAGGTGCTGAACCATGCGTTCCGATGGATCATATACGACGAGAGTGTGTGGACGAAGGACGGGGGCATTAGCAACCTAGGGTTTGTGAATCTGGAAGGGTCCCCGCATTATTGGAAGAAGAAGACCGTGGGCATGACGTTGACGAAAAGCGGCCAACAGTACCAACCCAAGTTTAGTTGGTTGATGGATAAACTACCCAAGCTCCAGTTGTATAGGCTCATCGTCGAGATCTACCAGTTAGACCAGGTCTTGTTTGACAAGACGAGCGTGGAGGTCACCTCCAATGGGTGGATCCAGATCGCCGACACGGCGCACACCAAGCACGTGCATGAATACCATGGCACGCACATGGTTGTATTACAATCGCCAAGTAGTCGACTTTAGGAATATCGACTTTCAGGGGGCGGATTCGTTTCGCTTAAAAGTGAGCGTGACCATGAAGGACATGTCTGCCACGTATCCGGCCAGGTTGACGGATCAATTCTACGTGGTGGTCTACGGGTACCCGATCTATCCCCCGTGCCTTCCATGGATCAAGTGGACGACGTGTACGACGATAATCCGGTGATCAGGCGAAGCACCACCACCACCTCCACCACCAGCACCAAAGAAAGCACCACCACGCCCACACATACCGGGAGTCAAGAAAAAAGGAAGAAAACCACGGCGGCGCCCGTGTCGCATGGGGACCAGAAGTAGAAGTATGACTTCATGAATGTTCAAACGCGAACGAAACGCCTGAACGAGAAATTCCAAGTCTAGTACGAATGGGAAGGGAAGGACTTGCGCATTCTGGCGTTGAACAAAGACGAATATTGTTGCTTTCTTCATCGAACTTCGCGTCGGTGGAATGGAAGGTGCATATTAACATGGCCCTGAGGATGAAGTGGTTGGCGCAAAAAAAAGATAAGAGTTACATGATTGGACCCTACGTTCGTTAGGAACCCGTTTACAAGACCTCGGCAGAAGGTAATTATTATGCACCCGCCCGTAACACGGAACTGGGTCAACACGACCTGTTGAAAGTGGAAGACAATAACCTGCGGTTGAGTCTGTGCATCAATGGGAGCTTCACCAACTTGAACGTGGCCTTCCGAGAGGTGGTGGGCGACCCCTCCTGCACCCCTCGTGGTCTACTCGGACGTGGTGGACAGCAATGTCATCGGCGGGCAAATGCATCCTCTGGTGCGCGAAGTGGAGTACCGGCGCCAAGGCCAGGGCATGGCGTACTTTGAACCCTTGCACATTGAGTGGTTACCCTGTCGGCGCGAGTACATGGACACCTTGGAGGTACAAGTGTCCGAGAGTCACGGAGGCCTGGTCCAGTTCGGCATGGGGCGCACGTTTGTCAGCTTCGTCTTCAAACGAGACATATAAAAAAGGCGCGTGCACCGAGGGAACGTGTCAAATCATGTGGGGAGGCAGTCTGACGCGGTACCTTAAGCCACCCCTGCCGCCGCAGGATGGTCGAGGACTTCGAGAGGATCTGTTTCGTTTGGGGGTCCCATTCTGGCGCGCCACGTGCAAGCCGTCGCGCAGGCGGGAGCCCGAGGGCAGTCGTGGCGCGGGCCGCCCGTCAAGAGATAAAAAGAGGGGTGAAACCCAAGGCCCTCCTCATTGCCGCGACGGTGGTCAAGAGGTCGACGAAATCGGCGGTCAAGAAAGGGTGCACGGTGGGACGCATTTGTGACGTGCTGGGGGTGTGATGCCGGGCAGGCGAAGGTTGGTGGTGCAATCCTTGCCTTGACGTCAATGGAGCATTCCCTCGCCTTTTCGGTCGCAGCGAGGGGGATGGATCAGTGCCAGCGTGCCCAAACCCCCGAGCTACGACATGACCCGATGGTTGTTGGCCAGGTAAAGTAAAGGCCGCGCCCAGCGAGGAGGATGGATCACTCCTCACGTGCCCAAACCCCCGGGCTACGACCTGACCAAATGGGCGGCCTCCAGGATGCGTATAAAACGACGACGCCGCCGTCGTTGAGACGCACATCTCCTCGTCATCATGACGAGTTTGGACATTTTCTCGGTCCCCTCGACCGACTACAATCTGCAGGGGTTTCGCATGGTGTCCTACCACAAATTGAGCACCAGCATCACCCCCATGAAGTTCTCGGTGCAGTCCTTGGATGATTACACGGATTTGAATCGCAGTTTCTTCGTTATCGACCTGCGGTTGTCCACGTCGGGCACCAATGGCATCGTGGAAGACGCCAATTCGGCTTCGAATGCCAACATCACCAAGTTCACGTACGCTGTCAACAACCTGGCCCACACCCTCTTCAAGCAGGTCAACGTACGGTTCAATGGCACATTGATGACCGAACAGACGGACACCTACGCCTACTCGGCCTATCTCCAGACCCTGCTCAACTACAGCCGCGACGATGTAGAGAGTTTGCTGGCGCCTCAGGGCTGGGTCAATTTGTTGAACGTGTCACCCACGTTGACCAGTGGCGGTGGGGACGACATTAGCACGCTGGCGGGGTACCCACACAATAACGATCACCTGCTCAAGACCCCGACCACCCCTTTCCGGGGCAATGCCATCGTCCGCTTGATCATGCGGCCTTACCTGCCCGTGTTCCAAACGGGCAAGATCATGGTGTCTGGGGTGGAAATGAATTTTGATTTCCACTTCAACAGTCCCGATTTCTACCGCACCCGCTCAGCGTTGCTACCGTGCTTCCGGATGCAAGCCAACGTTCTTGAAGATGTGGACATCACGTTTCACCTATGCCGACTGAGTCTCAACCCGGATGTCTATGCCTCCCTGGAAGGTCAGCGCAAGTTCCGAAAGCAGGTGGTCAAGTACCCGGTGGTGAGGGATCAGATTCGCACGTTTACCTTCAACGGGGCCACCACCACGCGGATGGAAGATAACTTATTCCTGGGCAGGGTGCCTCAACGCATGATCGTGGACATGTTGGACAGCACGGCCTTCAACGGCACCAAGGAGAAGTACCCGTTTTCTTTCCAGAGCAAAGGGGTGACGTCCGTACGACAGTATACCGAGAAGGAAGAGTACCCGTACGTCACCCTGGAATTCGCCGGAAATAATACCCTGAAAGATTTGCAAGGCTATCGACGCTTCTTAGAAGCCGCCAGGGCCGTGGCGAAACATTGCAAGTTCACGGTCAAGCCGGACGAGTGGGGGCACAACAAGAATTGTAGCCTGTTCATGTGCCCAGCGGGGACGCGGATGGACAAAAGCTCAATCCCAAGCAGACCGGCAACGTGCGTCTGGAGATCAAATTCAGAACCGCCGTCAACTCTAACATGATCATCTTAGTGTGGGGGGAATTTGAAAGCGTCATCTACGTCTATCACCTGGGAGCCGTGCAGTATGATACCAGCGTGTAAAGGGACCGAGCGCTTAGTTGGACGATGGAGCTGGTCGCGTTGAGCGATCGACAATTGCGCGTGTTCCAAGGCCTCTATCCCTCCGATCGATTGCCCGAGCACCCTCCCAAGACCACCCGAGGCGCCTACATCATCAACACGGACCCGGCCGGTGAACCTGGCCAGCATTGGTTGGGGGTGTGGACGGAAGAGGGGGTGTGCAAAGTAATGGACAGTTACGGGTTGCCGTTGACCGTCTAGAGGCCCCGGGATTTCCCGAGTGGATCGCGCGGCATTGGAAGTGCGTGGTGCACAGCGAGAAGACCCTGGAAGCCTGCGACAGTCGGGCCTGTGGCCACTATGCCTTTGTGTACCTGCAAGAAGGCGTACTCGACGGAGCCTGCTGGAGTTTGTGGAAACCTTTCGGAACGGCGATTACGTGTGGAACGATCATCGCGTGGGGGAACGCGTCCGTGCCTGGATTCAGACGAAACTGGGGGATGCGGCCCTGGACGAAGCCGATGGACCGGACACGCAACGCTGCGTGTTTCAACGTTGTTTATTTCCTTGATTAAACGTGTCCCACAAGAGTGACGAGACGGGGAGGGACAGACATATAAAGGGGATGGGACCAAGACAAGGAGTGGGTGCGGGGGGCCTCCTCGTGAATGGTCGGTCCGACCAGAAGGGTTCTCTCCCGACAGTGCTACCCTTTGCTGCACGACCGAGTCTGGCCACGGGGATTCCCCGTACTCGTAACGGGCCTTAGCTCAGTGGGTAGAGCAGCGGCTTTGCAAGCCGTGGGGCATCGGTTCGATTCCGATAGGTTCCATGCAACGTCGTCCCGGGCGCTCCATAAAACCGGTGCGTTCGCGGCGACGTTCTTTTGAGAAAAACCATGATTACGCGACAAGATGTGGTACGCGTCCCCGAAGCCTTGGACGAGCGCGTGTTGATGGCACTCATGCTCAACCCCGTGGACGCGTTGTGCGACACTTGGGATTATCGACTCTATAACACCTTCCGTCGATTGGCGCGGGCCGGGGATTGGGTGGGCTTAGCCCAGGCCTTGAAGGCCTTCCCGGAAACCACCGTGGTGGAGAGAACGCTGACCTTGATAAAAGACGCCTCGTCGCGGTTGCACGCGATCGTGACGACACACCGAGCATGATTCGTCATCCCTGCAACACCCTGGTAGGCGGCCCGTCCGGTTGCGGGAAATCGACGTGGTCGCGCGGGTTTTTACGCCACGCCGATCAACTGATGCACCCGCCTTCTCGCGTCTTCTATTATTGTTACGGGGCCTGGCAACCCGCCTTTGACGAGATGAAGAAAGAGAAGCGAGTGCATTTTCACGCAGGACTGCCCACCCCGGAGGACTTTGACCAATGGTTCGGACCCACCCAAGGGGATTGTTGGTGTTGGACGATCTCATGGAAGAAGGCGTCAACGACAAGCGCCTGTTGGATCCTTTTTTCCAAGCAATCGCATCACCGTAACATCAGCGTGATGTTTCTGTGCCAGGATCTGTTCCCACCCGGCAAATTCGCCAAGACCATTTCGAGGAACGCACATTACATCGTGGCCTTCAAGAATCCGCGGGATCAAGTGGGCATGCGGACGTTGACCCTGCAAGCCTTTCCCAACGACTTGTCGCACGAGATGAACATCTTTCGCGAATGCACCCAGCGCCCGTTTGGCTATTTAATGCTGAACCTGCACCCCGCATCAGACGATCGGTACCGTCTCTTCACCAACGTGTTACCGGAGGAAGGACCGACGGAGACCTGTGAACGTCAAGCATGAGTCAACGACGGTCGACGCCCTCGTCGGACGAGTGTCGGGACGACCTGGATTACGAACAATTGAGATGAAAGAATAAACAGGCTCCCTTGTCGGCGGGGGTAGGACGCTCCCTCAATCAATCCCCGTACGTCACGCCAAATGCCTTGCGGGAGGCCTTGGCGGCCGCGGGCGTGACGTCGGTACCGGCCGGGGTTGGGGTCGCACCCAATGTATCCTCCTCGAGTTCGGGCGTACCCAGCCTGACGACCATCCGGGCAGCGGCCCAGACGTTACCGACGCCTCCGTTTAGCCCTCAGCAAATTGAGGTCATGGAACAGATTGCCCGAGGGGGAGTACCAGCCGGGCAGATGGATGCCCTGTTGGATCGGCATGGTCTCGACAACAACCAATTGGTGGATTATATCGCTCAACGTCCCATGACACCGCCCCCAGCCCACTCGCCAACGCCGCCACCCCCGTCTCCGCGAGGGCGCGGCCGTGGCCGACCCCTGCGCCGGGGACGAGGACGGGGACGTGGTGGGACCTCGCCCGGCGGCGATGGCGGCGGCGGTTGTGGAGGGGGAGACGAACGCCTTGGGTGCGGACGCGGTCGCGGTCGCGGAACGCCCCCTCGACGAGCACGCATGAATCAAGACGAATTCCGACTTTAGATGGATCTGTTGGCCGAAGATGCCCGTCAACGGTCGGTGGGGCGTTGAATTGCCGCCATCACGCACACCAATACCATGACGACGGTCTACAAGGATGTGGGAGAACCCGAAGTCCATCGTACGTCCTCGCGTTTGTCCACGCTCAGCAGTGGTTGATAGGTACGCGAATGGCAGCCTCAGGTAAGCCTATAAAAAGTGGACGGTCCCGATCCCTTCACATTGCATCATGGTTCGACGAAGACAAAGATATCGACGCCGACGCCGACACTACCAACGAAGGGGTATTTTACCCTTTCTCGTGCCTCTAGGCATCGCCGCCACCAAGGCGATTGCAGCGGGGCGGCGAGTGGCGCGGCAGGGTGGGGGGTTAAAAAAGGATTGCATGCCGCCACGAGCAAGAGACGCTGATTATAAAAAGGAGTCCGTCACCCCTACCCCCGTCACATCGCATCATGGGACTTAGCCGACGAAGACGACGACGCCACTACCAACGAGGGGGTATCTTACCCTTTCTCGTGCCTCTAGGTATCGCCGCCGCCAAGGCGATTGCCGCCGGGGCGGCGAGTGGCGCGGCAGGGTGGGGGGTCAAGAAAGAATTGGATGCCGCCATGCGCAAGAAACGCGTGGGCAAGATTTCCGCCGCCTAGGCGGCGGCCAACAGACGTCTGGTCGGCAACATGCGCCGTCGATGGTTCCGGATCGGCGGGGTCAAGTAACCTATAAAGACAGCCTGGTACATGGGGTCAGGACGACACCATGGTGTGACGCCTTCAACGACAACTGCCCTTTTTGCGGAGCGTGTCGAGAGAAGCCAACCAGAACGTGAGGCGGGAACGATTGCAGCACGCCAATGCCGATCAAGTCAATGCCATCAGCGAGTTGGTGATGAACACCTTGAAAGGGAACGTGACGGTCCAGCCTCGTTTTTTGGATCAACTCCGTCCGCACAAGCGTGCCTTGCGCGAGATGGCGTGTCGAAAGCATTCCATAAAACGGCGACGGCACGTCATGATGGCTCAAACCGGGGCGGGGGTGTGGAACGCCTTGGATCGCGTGTGTCGTCATTGCCTGACAGGATGAGTCACGGACCGTACCAGAAAAAGTACTTGGTGTCCCCGGCGGACATGGAATGTCTGTTGGAGCAATACAAAGGCACGTGGACGGAGAATTCGCGGTTGACGCATGCCGCGCGTTTGGCGGCCAAACAACACGTCTTACTGGCCTCCCCCGAGCTGCCGCCGGCCACCAAGAAGATACAGGTCAAAGCCCTGGGACCCGAGGTGCGTGGGGCCACCAAACGCGTGCGGACCATGAGCCTCCAGCCAGCCGGAGGGGTGGCTGGAGACGAAGACGATTTTGCCCAAGGACCCATGAAGACCTTCTTGAAAACGCTTGCAAAAAGCAGTACCCCCAAACCCAAGGCTCCACAGACCACCACTGCCTCTCAGGCCACACCCAAAGGCAAGCCGAAAATCCCGCCCAACCCGGCCTTCTCGGTCCCGTTACCGGACGACGATTGGGAAGAGGAATTGGCGGTGCCCATCCCCAGCACCTCCAAGAGCAAGACTTCTGCGACCTTGAGCAAAGTCAATTATCCCCTGGCAGGACCCTCCAAAGGGCAGACCCCGCTCACTACCAACAAACCGCGCTTTCGCTTTAGTCAGCAGGCCGCCAAAGAGAAACTGGCCAAGGAGCTGGACAAGTTGAAACGTCAACCCGGTTGGAGCAAGTGGTGTGAGAAGGTCAAGCGCAAACTCCATGGCAAGGACTACTAGACGTCGCCGCGCTCGCTATCTCCAGGACAAGATAATTCGCGCCATTCAATCCCTCCCGGGGAAAAAGACCTGGACTAAAGCCACTGTCAAGAAAATCATGCGAGCCAAACGTTGGTTGAAACTGTAACATTTATTGAGGCTTTGTTTAAGGCAGAGGTTTATCTAAAGTAGAGTTCTAGTGCACCATTGCTCCATAGGTGTAAACTTTACATCTCAGTATTGGTTTACATCTCAGTATTCAAATAGCACAACGTCACATTTGAGATCGTCCCTTTTTCCGTCCTAGGCTCGTTGAAACAAGAGCGTCACTGTTCCCCTTACTTGCCACACGCGTTCCAGTCCACGGGTTTACTCCATTCGGGATCCATCATTACATACATCACCTCGGTGGGGCCCAAACCCACCTCATTTTTGGTCGGACACACACGCAACAATCGCTGACATTCCTCACAGCGGCCATACACCTTGAACACGGGGCGTGAACAGAGATCTTTATCGGACACAACGTCCGCTTCATTCAACAGGGTCATGAGGAAGTTCAGGGCCGAGTGGGCCTTGATGCTCATGGGTAAAGGCAGCAATTTCTTTGGTGAGGCCACAGCAGATCATGGCCCTTAACTCGACGGGTTCCGGGGGCGGGAGGGTCTTGGTCGCAGGGTCGTGTCTGCACAGGTACGTAAAGATGCCCATGATGCGCTTGCTCACTTGATCGGGATTGCCCGTGGTGATGCACTTGATCAGGGCCGGCACTTCCTTTTTCAACACCGTAAAGCACCACGAAGGGTTGGGTAAATAGTGGTGTGAAAACATGTCAGGTACGTAAAGATGCCCATGATGCGCTTGCTCACTTGATCGGGATTGCCCGTGGTGATGCACTTGATCAGGGCCGGCACTTCCCTTTTCAACACCGTAAAGCACCACGAAGGGTTGGGTAAATAGTGGTGTGAAAACATGGCATACATCCACTCGAATTGTTCCAGGGATTCGCTCTCGATGCGTACGCTGTCTGCAAATAAAAAAAAAAGTTCAGTCCTAGTCGGGGGACGCCGCTGTGCCTACACCGTAACAATGGCAATCACACACCCACCCGTCGTTGAGGTAACACTCGGTATGCAGCAACACGGGGTGAGGACCTCCACGCTTTCGCCTCTTCAAAAACAAGAGGACGTTGGTCGGTTCCGAAGGCACACCCACAAACACAAAGACCGTGTACAACAACCAAATGCAATGACAAGGCGCTCGCGGCCAGGTGTGAGCATGCCGTAGAGGGTAAGGGTGAACGACTTTCTCCAACGTACCTCGAGCAATGTCGGCGCCTTGATGGATAGAACAGTAACACTTGGCTTGATTGCCTTCAATCTTCAAATGGGATGCCATTGGTTAGCCTTTCAGTTGGAACAGGAACAGAACATGAGCAACAAGGGCCGCTGAGCCCTTTTCTCAGAAGGTAAATGAAGCGACAAAAAAGCACTCATCGACCATTGCAGTAAAGTGACCCGAGGGTGCCCCTGCTCTATATAGACCCTCTCTTCATTGGGTCCCGGGCTCTCTCGACCAGCCCCAAAAGAGGGGGGATGGGGGTATCCCCCCTCCTTGGGGCTTTTTTCCTAGAGGGGGGTCTGGTGAAATGAGAGCCTTCCTGGGACACCAAAAAAAGGAGTCTCTCACCCATCCGGCTCAAACCGAACTTTTTCATGCGATGTCTTGGGTATGGTGTGGCCTTTGACTTTTGATTGGTGCGTCCTCTGTGCGAGTGAGCTGGTCCGATCCGCCGTCCGTACACCCTGTTGCCGCGTGCTGGTCCATAAGACGTGTTTGTACTCGTCCCTGGTCGTCAGTCCGTCCAATCCTACGCCCACGTGCCCTCAGTGTCAACAAGTCTTGGATCTTCGACGCTTTCGACGCTTGTGTTGGCGCTTGTCGGATAAGTGGAGTCCATGGTTTGAATGTCCCCTCGCCCCTGCTCCCCCTCACGCTCATTCTTACCATTGGGTTTACTTACAGAGCATGCATCCTCCACGTCTACCGCCGCTACCGTCTTCCGCCGATACCGACGACGACGATCGGGTAAGTGGGACCCATCGGTTGAATCCTCCCTCGCCTCTGGCACCCCTTTCTCATTCTTCCTTTGTCGTTCCACTTAGGTGCCGGACCCAGCATGACCACCACCACCACCACCACCAGCATCGTCACCACGCCGCGACGCCATGCCACCGCAGGTACGAGCCTTTTTGTTTTGGCTAGCGGAAGGGACGACATTGGGCCATAATGTAAACCTGAGCCCACCTCTGGTTTGGTCGAAGACAATCCGAGTCAAGCCAGTCCCTTCCATTCTTTCTCGACTCAACTGTGTGTCTTGTGTGATAGAGACCTTGTGCCCCAAAGGATCCGACACCTGGTTTCCCTCCGTCTCGCTTTGCTGAATCTACCGGTTTGTCTTCCAGTGGGCTGTGATACCTTCGTGTAGAGTCCACGTTTCCCCCTTTCCCCTGTTTCCCTTCGACATGGATTTCTCGTTGGCACCTGTCTTAGCTGTCTCTGCTTTTTTGGATTTTTTGTCTTTCTGGCCGTTTTTTTCTCATATGAGGAGGAAGTTTTCGATTGTTCTTTCTTGGCTGTCCTCATTGACTGTTTTCTTCGGACGCTCTCTGGCCAAGAACTCTCTCTCTCTCGGTCCATTTCCGTTTTGCGCCACTGGTGGGTATGTCTCCTTTCTTGATCGTCTCCTAGGTTGGTGATCTGGAGGTCTTTCATTCCCTTTGGCGATTCTCCTCTGGCCTGGCCTTTGCCTTGCCTTTGTCTTTGCTACGTTTTTTCAGGTCCCGCTGTACACGTGTCATTTAACACTGGGAAGATGACTGGTTTAATCGAAGGTCCAACAGTTCCCTCGGACTCTGACCCATCGATGTAGGGTGAATTCCTGATCAAATCCAGTGACAACCAGACGAACTGGGCAGGCGGATCCTTGGTGGCCTTTGAAATGACTGACGCGGTCTGTTGGTTCATGTACTTGATGCATTTGTCTTTGGACATCTTTGCCAAGGGATGCATTTCTGAGCCGGGGAAGAACGGATTTACAGACCCACTAGCCAAACGAGGGTCTTGGATTGGCATGGTTTCTCCAGACATCCACCCCTTTGTTGCCTTGGAAATGGTTACAGGACCACCTGAAAAAAACGAGGGACTGGACCCGGCCCATCGAAATACAATCCCTTAGACATTGGTTGGTTTGAGATGCTGATGGATGGCGATTGACCCATTCATGGGGTTCCCTGTTCGATCACACCCTTGCTGACGTCTTGTAGACTGTTGTTCACCGAGCAGAAGAAGAAGTTCCTGTCAAGCTGCGAGGTCTTGCCAGCCTGAAGTTGGCTTCCTCTCTACCACTGTACCATTCTTTGTGGTGGTTCTCTCAGTGTCTGGCTGTCATTGGCGGTGTAATACCACCACAGAGGATCTGTCTGTCGTTGGCGATGACAACATGTTCAAGGGTTGTGTCCGTGAGGTGCGCCGGGAGTGGTATTGCTACAGTGACAGGGCCCCAACTTGCTTTACCTCACAGCCTGGCCAAGTGGACTTGACATAGCATACCTTCCCGTCTACCTCTATTCCTTGGGCCGCTTGTAGCCCCATCGCAGTCTGCCTTGACTTGTTTGAAATCTCTACTTGCCTCTGTGTTCGTCTGTGCTTTCCTCACAAGGACACGCCAGACAAATCTTGATTGGCTTCTTTGGAGACTTGATTTGGAGCAAACCGATGACGCTGGCTGCCATCTGTATCCATCCCTGATGACTCCTCGAGCACGTGGCAAAGGACGATCCAGAAACGAACCCGTGTGTCCTGGTTCTTCTTGGATGGTTCCTGCGCAGCTTCATCGAAGGAGAGGTTTTGTGCGCTCTCGCATGCGCTTTCCATGGCTTGTCCTTGTCTGGGGAAGAAATGGAAGTGGCGGGTCACCCGGACGTGTCGAACGCGTTTTTTTTGGGGGGGAGGTGGGGGCACGCTCGGTACAGACCCATGTTGAATTTGGATGCACACTGATGACCCGTCGCCAACTCCAATGGACCCAAGTAAGACCTTTCCATAGCCTTTCGTTCGGAACCAAGCAAGTCCATTCCACGTCGCGGGGGTCATCCGTTCCATCACCTTTTTGGGGGGACATCCGTTCCAGCCTTTCTTCGTCTGTCGTTGGTGTGTTGACTGCTTGTTCTGCAGATTCACTGACCCAAGCATGTCTTCAGTCACTGGCATAGGGTTCCTGATTCATTTCAGCTGCACTTGTTTGGATTCGTGGTCCGACATCTGTTCATCAAGGTCCATTGGCTCCAGGCGCGAGTAGTCAGAGCTCCATTGGTTTGTGGGACATGGTTGGAAGATTTTCCTGGGCTTTGCAGATCCATCATGGCCCCTGCATGAGGCCACCTTCTCGTGTGGTTTGGAACAACATGGTGTCACCGTCGTGCATACCTGTCTTTGGCCTGTAAGAACTATTTTTGTAGTTACAGGTCTGAGTTGGTTCTACTTCGTTTTGGTCGGCGATGAAGTCTTTCTCTGCTTTCTTTTGGGTTTGATCTGATTCTGGTCTGCCGGTACCAGCTGCGCCTGAGTTTAGGAGGTGGGGACATGTTGGTTGCTTTTGTCATCACTGATTCCTTTCCTCCTTTATGTCAAGACCTCTGGTGGTTTTCTGTGCTTTTTCCACATGATGATCCCGAGCCTTCAAGCTCTGATGTGGACGTAGCGAAACCCATCGATGCTAGCTTTATCATCAGCAGCACTTGGCTTGGAGTTCACGGACAATTTGGTGGCTTGGACTTCCCCGTTCGAGGCATCCCTGTGCAGCTACAATCCTGGACAAAACTACTTGAGAAAATTTTTTCATTAATGTGCACTACCTAACGCAACAAAACTATTTCCAAATCAACGGCTTTGCGTAAAGAAAACTATGACGCGTTTTCAGGGTAAAAAAAAGTGTATAGTTACCACACAAACTGAATTGCCAACTAAATGATTATCTTAGATGATGATTGTCGGTTTATGACCTGTTTTGACGTGCTGTCTTGCGATGGAATCCTTTCGTCGTGTCATGACTTTCAAATCCACCCTTCTTACTCGAACTGATTTGAGAATGGTTTACGTGCATGCATAATTACTTTAATTTGAAATCTTTTTGCATGCTTTCTATGGAACCAAATGAAGCAATTTCTTAAATACGATTTTTTAAACTCGCCCGCATCACTTTTGAAATCACTTTTCCGATCTTTTCTGCATGCTTACTTGGGAAGGATTATTCGATGATCAATTTCGTAAATACGTGTTTTTTTAAACCCTCATTACTTTTGAAATCTCTTTGCATTCTTACTTGAGAATTACGTAGCGGTAGGATTATTTTATGACGAAAACAAATGAAACAATTTCTTCAATACAACTTTTTTCAAATCGTTATTACTTTTGAAATCCGTTGTTTGCATGCTTACTTGCAAAATACGTAGCAGGAGGATTATTTGATGAAGGAAACGAAGGATCCTTTTTTACATGGGGAGTTAGGTTTACCCGCGTCACTGTAGAAAACGCGCTATTGTGCTTCACTGCACCCAACACGAAACGCGACTCAGTGACTCCCAAAATGACTTTTGAATTCGCTTTCGCTGCACAACAGAATGACTTGCAAACTTTCAACCAGGCGTTTCTACCCAGAAAGGCCCGAAAAGAGTCTGGAAACTCCAGTGTCTTAACCTTTGTCGCAAGACTATATTGAAAAGGGATCGATGTCTTGTCGCGGTTTCAAAAAAAAAACTCTGGGGACGAGAACGCGTCCGGTGCAATTCCTGCATTTAGTACGAACAGCGGTATCTGCAGGAATCGCACCAAGGTTCAGTCGGGTGTACGTGGACATTGAAGCTCTGTTTATGGCTTTTCTTCAATATGTAAGTGGTAAAATCTAAGATCAATGTGGATGCAGACAAAAGGTTTCATCTCAGAATCACTCAGTGAAGTTATCCGATATGCGACAGTTGAACTTCAACTTCGATGAGACATTGACTCTTAACGAGTCAGCCGACTTCAAAAGAATACTGCACTGTTTGTCTTTGAGAAATATTTAATATTATATTGTATTTTCCTGTGATAAAAACCGTTACTCTTGAAACGGCTAACGTAACGAATTGTCACGTCATCGCCACTGACATACTATTTTTATCTTCCAATCACAGGTCGGTGCAATTCCTGTATTTAGCTGCTAGTTCATTGAGTTGATCGACCTTGATCGTTTTTCTAAGAAATGAGCTTGACACCTGAGCAATCGCATTTCTTGCAAAACCTTCGTCTACACCTAATGGATCTTTCGAGAAGATTGGAACAGGATGTTAATGAAGATGTTGCTGACTATGTGTTGTTTCGGTTGCAACAAGCTTCGAATCATTTGACAAGGCTGGGAGCCAGTGTGGATTTAGATGTATTAAACGAAGTTCAAACCTCCCTTGCTCAAGTGACGACTATTTTGGCAGACGCTGAGCGTAACTGGCAACCTATTTACCCTGATGTTAATAAGGAAGGATTGGTTGGTTGCCCAAAGTTTGAAATAAGTAGGGATCAGTTGCAGTACCTCGTGGACCACGATCTAAAAATTTCAGACATCTCCGAAGCTCTCGGAGTCAGTAGAGGCACTATCAAAAGGCGTTTAAGAGAATATGGAATTTCAATAAGCGAAAGAAAGACGGATATTCCAGATGCTGAACTTGATTGTGTTGTAAGAAATATCCAGCGAGATTTTCCAAATGCTGGATATAGAAGAATGCAATCACAGCTTTCGTTACGCGGCATAAAGATTTCTCAGATGAGAGTTCGGGCATCAATGCAGAGGACGGATCCGGAAGGGGTGGCAATGAGGTGGTTATCTCTTACCCCAAGGGCAGTGTACCGTGTTAGTGGCCCTCTGGCTTTATGGCACATAGACGGTAATCACAAGTTAATCAGGTAAAAATCGATTTTATCTCAAACTAATTAAAAAGAAGATTATAGTAATATTTCAGGTAACTGCGATGACCGTCTTTACATTTATATAATAATAATGTATCGGTCAAATTGAAGCTTCAACATCCCCCCCGGGCATACCCCAGGCATTTGACACCTTTGCCATCCCAGGGAGGAGGAAATTTGATCATCAGAGCCTTCCAGGGGGTGGGGAATTTGATCCCCATGCGTTAGGGGTGGGGAATGTGAACTGCCCCCTCGATTTAACGTGAAATCTCTGGCGTGGCGAGCTATCATGGGGGACGCGGTGTTAGAGGATTTTTGTAGAAAAGATTGTGCCTTTGTGGCCAATTGGTTACAAGGAAAGGGCTTAAACAAGCCTTGTACCATATTTGAACATATTTAAATTTTAATATTGGATTCAGGCTTTGAATATCTGAACGTATTACTGCGCTTTTCACAAACATGCGAATTCAGAAGTTCAAAAGCCAACTGATGATTGCGTTTTTCGCTGCCGTCAATCATCTTAACGGACCTCTTAGGAAACAAAACTTTACTTTAACAGGTTCAAAAGGTCATGGTTTGTAATTTGTGATTGGTGGATTTTGATCCATTTTTTGTGTTTCTGTGTTTCAAGGTTCGTTGCTTGCGATCGCAATTATGATTGACGGCAGCGAAAAACGCAATTGTGAAGGCGTCTTTTGAACTTTAGAGTTCGCATGTTTGTGAAAAGCGCAGTAGGTTGTGTTTACAATGAAATACAATAACTATTACCGGCGATTCAATACAACAATGAAAAGCTCAATAGAGGTCAATTACTTTGACCTGCGGCATGTATAAGGTGAGCGATGATACGTGTCAGTGAAATGGTCATGATGTAGTAATCTCAGTAGGTGGGATTTTCTTTATGGAACGCTTTGTATGTTGCATGACACACGAAGAAAAGTTGAGCATTCAGTGACCTTGTAGCAGCGATTTCCGCCACTTTGCATGAGAATTTTGTTCGTAGTAAATACGCTAACAGTGTTTCGCAGTTTTTATAATATTGAATGCGAGTTCTTTGCTGTATTTATAACGATTTTGTTCGACAACTGAAGGCGTTTCTGCCGTCCTTGTGTCATTTATGTGCTTGTGAAATGTCCCCCGGTTGGGGGCATTTGATTACCTTATTGGACCCTTGTGTGGGCCATTTGAACGGCATTTTGGCCCGGGCAGGGGGAAATTTGAACAATAATTTTCAAAAAAGTCAAATGCCCGGGGGGGATGTTGAAGCTTCGATTTGACCGGTACATAGGAGTCTAGGGTTAAGTTTATTGGTTTTTTCCCTTGCTCCTACCAGTTTTTTTCCAGATACTCCAATTTTTCCCCTCTCCTTTAAGAGAAAAACACATTTCCAACAATTAATTCATTGAGAAATTGTAGATGAATCGATGTAAAGTCTGTACCTTTATTAAGAACTCTGTTTTGCAAGAATACAGTTTTCAGTAAACACTATTCATTTGTCGTAGGTGGAGAATTGTAATACATGGAGGTGTGGATGGTTATACAAGAATACCAGTCTATCTCAAAGCTAGCAACAACAATTCATCTGACATTGTGCTTGAGCTGTTCTTGCAAACTGTAGAAGAGTATGGACTTCCGTCAAGAGTCAGGTCAGACAAAGGTGGGGAAAATGTTGGAAGGTCGATGTTCCTGCTGCAACATCCAAATAGGGGGCCAGGAAGAGGAAGCATGAGAGCTGGGAGAAGTGTACATAATCAGCGTATCGAGCGTCTGTGGAGGGATGTATTTGATGGTGTTATATATATCTATTATCATCTCTTTTATCATCTTGAAGATTGTGGTACTCTTGACCCAACAAACCAAGACCATTTGTTTGCCCTTCATTTTGTTTTTGTGCCTCGAATAAACCGGCATTTGAACCTGTGGAAGGCAGGCTATGTGCGTCACAGGATCCGTACAGCTGGAAGCATATCTCCAATGCAGTTATATATTCTTGGTCTTTTAAAAATGAGGGACACTGATTTAGTGGCAGCAAGAGAAATGTATGAGCCAAGGACAGAGGTAATTATGTAGCCAGGCCCTAAGTAACTCTTGATGTAACATCAAATTCTCCTTTAATTGCACAAGCAGTCGTAAGTCAATTTATGAGGAGAATCTGCCAGTTGATCAGACATTACATAAAGGCTTTTATCACTCACACCTACAAACCTTTGCATTAAATATCAAAAGGTTTTAAATGAGCCTTTGAGCAACTGACGATCCAGTACCACCCAGGGATGGACGGAGGATTTTGTGATGGAGGGGTCCTAGAGATATAATATACAGTGGCAATATGAGCAAGATAGCCCCCACCAGGACTGAGAACGGCTCACTTTTGTAGGGAGTTTCGGGTGCATGTTCCTCCAGGAAAATTGTTTAGATTGAAGTTCTCTGAGATGTAATCTAGTGCATTTGGGACGCTTAAATTTAGCAAATGTCTGGATTCCATATTGAACATGAAATGTTGAAATTTAATAAACCACAAAAGCGGGAGGGGCTGGGCCCACCCCTAAATCCACCCTTTCCACCATTTGTATTTGACAACTAAGGGACAGACTACTGGAAAAGTGATGGGGGGTGGGTGGAAAATTTTTGGCAAGCAAGAATTTTTTTTCGGCTGATTGGCTGTGCATGAATTTCTTCCCGACTGCAACCCCATGTTCATAATTAATTAAAGTAATTAATAAAATACTACATAATGTTACTTTAAATATTCAATGTTTTTTTTTTATAAAATGTAGTATATTAGGATTTGAAGAAATAACACAACAGTTTTCAAATTTTTATTTTAAATTTTGTGTTATTTTGATAAATGTAATGCAGAAGAAAAGTTTGTAAAAGATAATCAGCTGGTAATGGCAATTCATTGTGACTGAAGTTGATTTATGAAAAGATATACACACTGAACTAAAACTCCTCTTGGAACATGTAAAATGAGTTCGTTTATTTTCTCTTAATACCAGAGGCACTTATGATATTGAGCACTTTGGCAAATTTAGTACAACACTGATTTAAAATCAAAATGTGACCCATCTTGTACAAAATTTCTTTTTTCTTCAGGTTTTTCTTTTCAGGAATTTTGTTTGGACAATGTATTTCTCTTGCACAATTTTTGGTTTTTTTACCCTCCCCCTGCCCCCATCACTTTTCTAATGTTCCGTCCATAATAAAATACTGTTACCCGGTATACCTTTAGTTAGGTTTTCTGTCTAAAACAGTTTGAGATAGTATAAACTGCTAAAAATAACTCATTCCACAAACTCACGGTCCTGTACAGTCCTTAAAATATTTGCAATTAAACAGCACTTCATGTACTGCAAGTATCCTGTGCACTGTATTTTTTAGGTGAAAAATGGAATCTTACTGAGGCTGGCCTTTATATCGGGCAGCACAGACAAGATCTCCAAGAAGTACTTTAAGTATTTTTGTTGTGTGTAGGTCGAGATAGAGGCATATGGTATTGACTTGGAGGGGCCAGCTCCAGATGACTTTGTTGATGGTGACAGTATTGTGGAAATCCCAAACATATTAAATCCAATGGGGGTGGACATTACCAAGAAATGTGTAGTTATGGCATTGACATCTTTGTGGAGACAGTTTCCTTCATTGCAGCACATTCTGTCTCCTAACATAGAATCATGTGTTGAATAAACTGACTGGTTCCATTCATATGATTGGAATCATGTACGCCAACACACAGTGTTCAGTCATGAGTTTTCTAATGGCTGCTACTGTTAAGTGAAACATGAGGCAAAAGAGTACTTGTACTTTGCACTTGTCATTACTGGAGTACAGTGGTCCTTTTAACTGAGATGATTTACATTATAAAATGAACTAATGTTGAAACTTTTGAATATTATCTAGTATTAATAAGAATGTTACTATTACAAATTTATGTAATTATGTAACTGGTGGTCTCATAAAGGCAGTGATACATGGTTCAACATTTGTTGCTCAACAAATGTTGTGTTCAAATGAATGGAATAAAGCTTTTCTATTCTCCTACAACAACATTCGATCAACATTCAACACTGCATGATACACTGTTCTACACCTGCTGAACAACAGCTGCAACATTTGTTGCTCACCAGATGTTGTTATACTCCCCAACTGAAATGCAGTTTTCTATTGCACAAGAGCATATCACCTGATGCGCATCAAATTAAACCTGTATAACTCCCTAGGGTGAACAAAACTCAACAATTCCGTAGGCTTAGGGTGACAACAGCTTGAACCTTGGACTTGCACTTGATCAGGACGGGTGTCTTTACGGCGGCAAATTTGGACTCTACTTTTGTGAACTCTCAACTAAAGTTTACTGTTGTGTCAGTTACTTTTTTAAATCGTGGAGTTTCTAGAAATGTATATGGGCGATTCAATCAATGTTTACATTTTCTCCCACTTCATACACTTTGATGAATTATTGTTGCAGCTCTGTATTATCGATTTTTTATCTCATACACATCATACCCATTTGTAGATTATTTTATTTTCAGTTGGAGAGTTAATACGACAAATACTTAATGATTGGCACCCTGGAAAACAGTGAGTTTTGTTTCCCCTTGGTGTTGAAGGTCTTGGGGAAACAAAACTCACTGTTTCTTATTGAACCATGAGTCACCAGCTTAACTCTGAGGCAAATTAGAACCAGCGAGGCTTTTAAGTAACAAGCAAGAGGTCCAAAATCAAAAGTCCTTGGCAGAGTTGGTTCATTCTTTATTGCTTTACAGGCTGATAATGGAACTAATGAAATGTTGGTGTACGTACTGGCTGCTAACTTCAATTCCAACTGGAATCATATAACAAAAATTTAATGATAAAAGGCACAGAAAGATACTATTGCCTTCATATCTTTATTCTCATAACAATAACTTCTAAACATAATCTTCTTGAAAGTTAAACATGTAATCTCCTTGGTAAGGGTTGGTTAGTTTGTTATTGCTTGAAAATCTAATAATGGAACCATTAAATATAAATGTATTCCGTACTAGCAGCTAACTTCAATTGCCAGTGGAATCATATAACAAAATGATAAAAGGCATCTTTAACAGAAAGATACTATTGCCTTCATATCTTTACTCCCACAAAAAATAACTTGTCTTTTAAACATATAATCTCCTTATAAAAAGGGGGGTTCTAAAAACAGTGATTGCTTCCTTTAGTTAGCCTGCTAAACATGTGCTACTGAGTTTGTGGTTCACACAAAGGCCTTGCACTTTTACATCGACTTGTCACCATCAGCATGCTGCAAAAAAGCGGCTTGCTTAGCTCAATAGCCCTTGTTACACATGCTAACTTTTTTAGTATGGAATCCTAACTTTTAACAGAAACAATGTTTTCTTTTTCATATCAATTTCCTGCAATTTCTTGAAATACATGAATATGTTTAGCCTGTGTACAGCCGCCCCTCCATTTTTCTGAGGGGAGGGGCGGCTGTACACAGGCTAGAATATGTTGTGATTGAAACATTTTCTCCTGATAATTAGTACTTGAGTATGATAATGTATTAACGTTGAAAAGAGTGAGAAATAAAATTTAAATGAAGGATAACATTGAATCGCAACATATACTTGTTATTTACTTCAGGGTCATTTTTTACCTGTTAAGTCTCCGTTTTGACATGCAAAATCCTGTTACTGATTGCTACACATCATAATTTATAGAACTGCAAATTTTGTTCCAGATAAAAACACCTTTGATCTTTGATGACATATCTTAGCACTTGTGTTTCTCTTCACATATCCAAGAAATGAGAATTAAAGTTTTTTCAACCGACTTATAGTTGCTGGAATCCTTGAATACCTGATGAAACACATTTTCCCATCCTAGCCATTTCTTAATGTGTTCTTCAGATTCTAGGTATGTGTTTTAAATTTTGATATTGTACAATCAAGACGTTTCTGTTTACTTAGTAACAATTATGGCAAGTACCAAAATGACCATCCAAATCTTTGGTAAAAGTGATCAACTGACCAGTCTGTGGTCGTGTGAAGGGTCAGTTAATGCTGGTAGTAAACCAATGAATTCATAAATAGGAGCATGATTTGATTCTTTGTTTCAATGATTCACTTGTACAAAGCACAATCCACAATAGCTAAAAATGAGACTCAATCAAATAAATGTATTTGACATGTTTGCTTTTCGTCAGGTAAGCCTATAAACGAAGTTACGAGGGCGAAATACTATCTAGTATAGCCTACCTAATGCCTTGTAACTAAAACCTAATTAAGTAAATATATGGTCATCAGATCCAGTCTAGCCTTGCGCATTGCATTTTACAGTTCTTGATAGCTTGTCGTATTGTAAATAGATTTTCCTAAGACGACAACAACAACAACAACAACAACAAGTTTATTTCAAATTAAATATATCTTACAAAGCTCGTGCCCGCAATTAGCGAAGGCTATTCGAGGCTGGTACAAGGGAAAAAAGAAAATTGTATAAATATATATGTATGTTAAACGAACAATCCTAGAAGCAATCTAGTTTGTCGTAATACTTTATTTCGGTCATGATACTCGTTGTCAAAAACCGAGCTAGAAGCACATTACACTCGCAGAAAACACACTCGGAAACAGTGTGGTTACATTTAAATGACTCTCGGTATCTATAATCGCCTGATGTCGTCTCCAACCAATGAAACAGTTTAATAGTAAACTCTATTCGTTGCACGCCGTGATTTACATGCGCGGAGCACAATACGTTCGACGTGGCTTCGCATTTATAATATTCAATTGGAACAACCTCCTAACAGCATATATTAGCAGTCAAAGCAACAAATTGCAAAATGTTTGTTATTAGCATATCAAAGGTTCGATTCATTCATTATCTGGCTGACTCACTCTCCGATGATACATGCAAGGCTTCAACATTAGCTTATCTGTATTCACTACTTCCACGCTGATGCACAAAATATCGCTTTGCTGCTGCCTGCATTGCGGGTATAAAAGTTGTTAAAATACCGGTCTAAATTAATTAGGGTTTGTGACCAATTTAGTTGCATCTGCAACTTTCTATCAAAATATAAGTTAAAG